GATCCAGCCATCTCCTGTTGTTGCTGGCTGAACTGAACTGCCTTAGCTGGCTGGGCAGGCACTCCTGGCTGTATATTGAGCTCACAGGGATAACAGGTAGTTTGGCTCCCACAGAATCGAGCCCACTGTTCCCTGTATTTCCTCATTTAAGACACTCCAATTTCTAGTACCTAATTTTGGGGGTGAACGTATATGTCATATGCAAGTAAATTGGTACTTTGTATTCAGTGTCAATATTTGCTGTATTTTCACATTACCTACTACATGTTTAACTTTTTAAAGGATCCCAGGCCTTGCTTAATTGGGAATATAGAATATATTAAGCCAGCAAGGATCTCCTAAGTATGGGGGCATTCTGGCATAGCTGCACTTTACACTTACATAATAAAACTAACCCTGTATAGTTCCATGTGAAACAAGCTCTACATGTAAATACACAGTTTTGCCAATATAACTGCATCTACGCTAGGGTCCTCTGATAGCACAACCACATTGGTAGGGATCCCACTCCTGTCCTCTGCCAACAAAAATCCACAGAACAGAAGTTAGACAGTGCAGTCATCCCCTCACAGGAACACAACTCTGAACATATGCAAGCCAGTGGTTTCTACTATATGACCCACACTGGCAGTGACTTCTAGATTATGAGCCTAATTATTCACTGGCTCTGGCCTTGTGTATAAGTGAGTGACAAACACTATCACTGTTTGGTAACAGGTTACAAATATTCTGCACCAATTCAATGACTACGCAAAGGCCTGAACAAGGAAGAATTGTGTCCTGCATCAGCTGCTTGACTTTTAAATGAAATATCCCTTCCAGGTGGTCCATCTTTATCATATTTTGCTTCTTAAAAATAGACAAAACACTTAGCATAACTTGGTGGAAAGTGTGAGCCAATATATTTCATACTAGATTACTATTCATGTTTTATCATAGCTTCTGCCAAGGTCCTGAAAATCTGTCTTCACCCCAAACTTGCTGTGACCTGAAGCGATTAACCTGCAACTGACCTTCATGTGCAATTCAGCACAGTGCTCTTCTTTCAAAATAAAAGCATTTTAGGCTCCAGGTCTTTGCAGGTTATTTTCAACTACCATGGTGGTAAATATATTTTGGAAATTAGCTTTTCAATTAAAAATTACCACTGGAAAAACCTCACAACAGGGCAATGGCAAATTTCCATCAGGAAGACTGAGAAGCATGTGAGGCAATATATACTGTATGCTAGCCTTCACTACTCATTCTCCAAAGAATTTCTGAATAGTATTTTACAATGAGAAAGAAGGATTTAGTAAGGATGAAGAATCCTGAGCTTTAAATGAGGCAAGATTCACCAAAATTATCACATATCATGGCTCTAAAAGATATGCTTTTGTATCCATTAGGACAACTTGACCCATGCAAATTATGAGGGGGTTTCTCTAGGCTGAGAGCTGCTGTCTCAATTATTTGAGCATTCTGCCTCCAAAGCTTATGAAACAAAGGCCCAAAGCTATCCATTTATTGTGGAAAAAACAGTCATAAAATAGAAATTAGACCACACATTTTATTCCTCTAAATGTATTTTGTTATAGACTACAATGTATTTTGTTACAGACTACAAAGAATCCATTCTTATTTACCTACTAGGGCAAATATTAAGTCTTTGCCAAAGAGACCAATAACTCCCTCTGAAATTCTATGACAAATGTCCTGAGGCTGCAGACAGATGTAAGACTCACATCAATGCCAAAAAATACCCATATAAGCAAATACTATGCCTCCGTGATTCTGCAGCTCTAACTTTAGCTCTGCTTCATTCAGGGTCAAAATTAAGTATTTTTTCTAATTTGTATCACTACAGGATTACGGAGTGCATTACAATTGCTGCTTGCTTCTAAACAGCAGCTCCTCCTCTGTAAAAGCAGCTAAAACATATATTTGCCTTTAGATTCATAGATTGTAGAGTCAGAAGGGACCACAAAGGATCATTGCGTCTGACCCCCTGCCCCTGGCAGGAAAGACAACCAAGGTCAGACGACCCCAGCCAGGTGACTATCAAGCCTCCTCTTGAAGGCCTCCAAGTTAGGTGATAGTACCACCTCTCTTGGAAACCCATTCAAGATCCTGGCCACCCTTACTGTGAAAAATTTCTTCCTAATATCTAACCTAAATCCACTCTCAACTAGTTTACACCTGTTATTCCTAGTCACTCCCTGGGGCGCCTTAGTAAACAGTGCTTCCCCAATTCCCCGTTGACCTCCCCTAATAAATTTATAGGCGGCCACAAGATCTGCCCTCAGCCGTCTCTTGTGAAGGCTGAAGAGATTCAGCTCTCTCAACCTCCCCCAATAGGGTCTATCACAAAGGCCACTAATCATGCGAGTGGCCCTCCTCTGGACCCTCTCGAGATTCCCTGCGTCCCTCTTAAAGCGCGGTGCCCAAAACTGGACACAGAACTCCAACTGCGGCCTGACCAGTGCCGCATAGAGGGGGAGCATCACCTCCCTTGATCTGTTGGTCATGCATCTGGTAATACACAACAAGGTGCGTTTCTTTTCAGCATCATTTCTCCTGCTGGGCCTTCACAAATGCGCTCTTTGATGATTTTTTCCAGTATTTTCCCAGGGATAGAGGTAAGACTGACTGGCCTAAAGGTACCTGGCTCATCCCCTCTCCCCTTCTTAAAAATGGGCACCACATTGGCCCTTTTCCAGTCCTCAGGGATCTGGCCAGAGCACCACAAGTGCTCAAACAGCCGTGCCAGCGGCTCAGCTATGACACTGGCCAATTTCTTCAGCACCCGTGGATGGTGGTCATCCGAGCCAGCTGACTTGTACCCATCCAGCCCTTCCAAGCGCTCCTTAACTAAGTCAGCGCTAACCTTTGGCGGTCTGGTGCCTTTTGGACATCTCTCTGTGCTCAAGGTGGGGGGATTGTCTTGGTCAGTATTTAGGAATACTGAAGCAAAGAACTCATTGAAGAGCTCTGCCTTTTTCCCTGTGTCAAACACCAACTGTCCTGATTTGTCCTGCAGGGGCCCTGTGTTACTCTGCACTTTCCTTTTGCTCGCTATGTATCTGTAGAAGGACTTTTTATTGTCCTTAATTGTTGTAGCCAGCCTAAGCTCCAGTCATGCCTTGGCCTGCCTAACTGACTCCCTGCGATAGTGCACCAGGGAGGTGTATGCCTCCTTGGTGGCTGCCCCCTGCTTCCACTGCCTATACATCTCTTTCTTTAACCCCAGTCTTTCCTGGAGTTCCTTGTTCAGCCAAGGGGGCTTTTTTATCCCCTTCCCCGCGTAAGGGGATAGACTCTTTTTGTGCCCCAAGGATCACTCCCTTGAGAAACCTCCAACCCTCCTGGACCCCCATTAGCTGGATGCTCTTGAGTTCCGCCACTTCATTAACTAGCCTTCTAAGCTTACTAAAGTTGGCCTTTCTGAAGTCTAACACTTTAGCCTCACTGGATATTTTTCCCACCTTTCGCTGGATAGTGAACTTTACCAAGTGATGGTCACTATCTCCCAGGTTACTGTGTACTCGCATGTTCCCCACAAAATCATCCCCTGTTGCTAAGACCAGGTCTAGCAAGGCGCTACCCCTGGTGGGACTGGACACCATCTGGGTTAGGTGGAGGTCCTGCACACAGTGTAAGAACCTCCATGAGCAGGTTATTTTGGCCGCCTGTTCCTCCCAGCAGATGTCCGGGTAATTTAGATCCCCCATGACCACCACCTCCCTCGCCTTTATGGCATCCGAGAGCTGCCTGGAGAATACCTCGTCTAGCTTGTCATCCTGGTGAGGAGGTCTGTAGTAGACCCCCACTACCAAGTCCTTTTCCCCTGGCCCCCCTGGATCCTGACCCACAATGCCTTAGTATTCCCCTCCTCTACGCCTGCCTTGATGATGGAAGATGTGTACTGCTCCTTAACATAAAGAGCTACAGCCTCGCCTTTTTTTCCCCCCACTGTCGTGCCTATACAACCTGTACCCCTTTAACCAGGAATGATTAAGTTGCTATTTGCTTCAAACTACAAGAAAGATAGTGAAGTAATTCATGTAAACAGAAGAATAAGTATTTCTATCTTCAACCAAACAGTCTACTAGTCATTTTTGACAACTCTATGACTAAGTTCTAAGTATGACTGTTTGCTAAATGTGAACACCTATAATTTTAATATTTTAGTTACTGAAAATTGAACACAATTTTCATTACAGCCCCTAATACAAGATATCAGCTGATGAACCCAACTTGAAACCTTCACTTGCTTTCTAAACAAACTCCAACCATTTTGTCTTTTAACATTTATGTCTAAATTAGGTTTCAGCACTTGGGATCTCAGAGAAGCATTTAGTGCGGTATTCATTAATCACAAGATTGGCAGCCACTTAATTCAGTTGAAAAGAATTTAATGAACTTTGTGCAATAAAGCACTGAGGTTTTGCAAGAAAAGAAAAATATTACTTTAAAAAATGGAGAGAGAACAACATTAAATAGTTAAGTTGCAAGTATCCTTGTGGAGCTAGCAAATGTAAAACATATTATTTTCAGTTGATATAATTAACACTGGCTTACAAAGTCAGAAAAAAACACCCTCAAACACTGAGTAAGGTTGAGAAGGTTCAACAACCTGTTGCCTGAAAGAAACTTTTCCAGCTGAACAGATTGGGAAGCTGAGATTCTATTCTAAAAAGCAATACACCAGTTGATTTTTCCTCAAAACTTTAGATATGACAAGATATTACTCACTGACTTCCCACTTTGTATATTCCCCTCCCATTGGCTTCAGTGGAATTTATGGGTGTCTCAGTATTTTCAGAAAAAAGTAAGACCACTTGATATTTAAAAACCAAAAATAGGTTTGGGATCCTCATTTTGATATTCCAAACAGAACTGCAGTTCCATTCCCTTACTGCCTCATTTCAAGGAGGCTAAGCATTTCATCAACAGAAAAGCAATTCTATGACTGTAAAGTCACAACTTGGTTTCATTTTCTTATTTCATTTCTTGGTTTGATTTACATGCTATCCATAAGGTGATGGCTTATTGTAAGTGTACATTGTACATTTTACAATGAATTGTTAAGGAGAAATAATCATACAACTGAGAACATGATTTTTATAAGATGCAAAGCATTCAACATGCATATTCAAAAAGTCTATTTACTCCTAAGTAGGGAAAACAACAGGCTTTTTTACCTTTTGTAAATGTTTTATAGAGAAGATAGCCTGATAATCTTAGAAAGTAGACTGAATAAAATGGGAGTGAATAGGGATGATTTTGCTGTTGTCTTCACAGAACCTAGAACAACTGAGCACAGCTTATGGTGGTTTTAATGCAATTTCAATGGAGAAGCCCTGTACTTATTTTTGACCTTTGACATTTAAAGCTTGCTTTAAGAAGCTGTTCCAGGGCAATGAACAATCAAGCCAAGTTTAATTTACCTTAACAAGAAAAAAGGACACTCCATATGTCCTTAGGGACCGTGCAAGCTTCACATACTTCACCTTGGCTTCTATTTCTGTCATTTCTCCACAGTTCTTGTGTTCCTATAAAAAGAGCTCAATTTTACTCAGTGTCACTTAAAACTGATAGAAATAATACTTATTGCATATAGAGAAAGGGATTGAATTTGAGATATGCCATCTTTTATTTGTTATGCGCTGCTTGGTTTTCTAGGGAGCTAATTAACTATTTAAAACATCACCCATTCAGAAATGCTAGCAGGGCTGGGTATTCAGATTTTCTGATGTAAGGAATTATGGAACAACCTGCCCAAAGGGGAATTTTCTGCCTAACCATTATCAGTTCAGCTTATGCCTCAAATAAAGGAGATTTAAAATATTTCCAAATACTATTTATAACTCCATTCTGGATATTTCTACTGCTTCTACAAATGGTCAATCATTTAAAAAAAACTATCATAATCTTAGCATCATGTACCCTGTGAAATCCATTGCCACATTATAATTATGCAGTTTTAAATTTGATACCTGTCACTTATATTGAAGGCCTTCATGTACTTAACTTATGAGAACAGAGTAGTATAGAAGCTCAGGTCTCCTTCCCCTGTCCTACCAATATATATACCATCTAACTCCATTCTCACTTTCTTTATAGAGAAACAGCTCTCATATTTTCACACCGGAGGTTTTTCTCTATGTCCCTAATCATTTTGATGCCTACCTTGAACCCCTTCATACTTCCAATGTGGTTTTTGAGACAAGTCAATCAAACATTAATATTCAATGTAGATTCATACACAGAATCACACACTTCACTTGCAACTATTTAGTTCTCTTAACATCCTTTTGCAAAATAAGGTCAACTGGCTCACTTTATCCAATAGTTTGTTGACGTGTTCAAAGACTAAGGCAGGGAAAGATAGGATTTTCCTATACAGAAGGCCAGGCTAATTTACCCTTTTATGACCCCCACTGGGCCATTTTAGAATTCTGTTTTTATTGATCATTTAAACCAGTTTACCCAGTACTTAAGGGTTAGCACTTTTTACTTCTAACCAATACTTTCACCAATACTCACCTTTAGCTCCTTGCTTCATCCTCCAGCTTCTCACTCAACCATTCCATCTCATTACCCTGACTCCAGCTCACAGTCCATCTCTTTGTTCATTCAAGCCCCATAATCTATCCCTTGCTCCCCCATCCTTTCTTCCCATGCTCATGGTCATGATATATCTTTTGTCTATCCCCAGTTCACCAGCTCATCCCCTTCTGCATTTCTGTTAGTTCATTTCCTCCTCTCTCTTGCTAAATGGTCCCCGCTTGCTGTTCCAGTTCTTGCCACCAAAACAGTCCAAAGAATCT